CTAGATGTGCCTCATGTGGTTTTACAAAACCCTTGGGCTGCTTCATGTAAATTTCCTCTGAAATCTGCCCATGTAGAAAAGCGGTAGCAATGTCAATGTGTTTCACCCTCATTTTCTTGGAGGCTGCAATGCTTAAAAGCATTCTTACGCTGCTGTACCTCACAGTTGGTGCAAAAACTTCATCGTAGTCTTCACCAAAACGCTGTGAAAATCCCTGTGCCACAAGTCTAGCTTTGTAGCGCTGCACTTCTCCTTCTGACCCCTTCTTAACCTTGAAAACCCATTTACTGCCAATGGCCTTCTTACCGGGAGGCAGCTCAGTGAGTGTCCAGGTCTTGTTCTGATGCAGTGCATCCATCTCCTCCTGCGCGGCCTTCCTCCAGAGACTGGCTTCTGCAGCTGGCATCTCCTGTATCTCTTCCCAAGTGGAAGGTTCCTGTGGAAACGCCGACCCTGCAAGGTAGGACAACCGTACTGGTGGGACACCTCTGTTGGTTCTGGATGAGCGTCTGACCTCTGGTTCTGCGACCGCATCAGCTTCCTCATCCTCCTCCAACGCAGGCATGTCCCCATCTGAGTCCTCATCTTCGTCTCTGGTGCCGCCAGGGTTCTGGTCCTCTGCGTCTTCTGGTGCATCGCCTGTAGGGGGCGCTGTAACACTCGAAGGCAGATAATTACTTTGTGGGGTCTCAAAAGGGAAATATACAAACTCTTGAGTCCTTTCTGACTCATCTGAAGAATCCACAACAGTGTTCTTAGTGTCTACTTTTCCATATTCATCAAAATAAACCGCATGGTATGCATTTGTCTTACCAGTTTGTAAGTCCATAATTCTGTATCCTTTGCCTCCAGAAGCATATCCCACAAGGATACCTGCTTTTGCCCTGGAGTCAAGCTTGTGTCTGTGTTCCTTGGGCACGTGGAAGTAACACGGACTTCCAAACACACGTATGTGCGACAGATTGGGAGCTTTCCCATGCCAAAGTTCAAATGGTGTGCGCTCTGCACCTTTAGTTGGCAGTCTATTCTGCAAATAGACCGATGTGTACACTCCTTCCGCCCACAGCTTGTGTGGCAAACGTGCATCCTTTAGCATGCACCTTGTCATGTCCATAATGGACCTAAACTTTCTCTCAGCTATGGCATTCTGCTGTGGTGTGTAAGGAATTGTGGTTACGTGTGCAATTCCTTCTCTGGCCAGGAGAGTCTGCACTTCATTTGAGCAGTACTCACCTCCATTGTCACTCATTAACACAGCTGGAGCTCTCTGGAATTTGTTCTTGACCATGGCAATGTATTCCTGGAGCTTGTCCACTGTCTCACTCTTCTCTTTGAGGAAATATACAACACAAAATCTTGAAAAGTCATCCAGAAATATTAAAATATATCTATTCTTTCCCAGTGAGGGAACATTCATGGGTCCACATATGTCAGTGTGCACTATGTCAAGCACTTTGTTGCTTCTTTGTTCTGCACAACGTGGAAATGAAGGTTTTACAGCCTTCTCAGTAATACAGCTTATGCACTTTGCTGGAGCTTTGTTGCTCTGCTTTACCTGCAAACCTCTTACAAGATTTCTTTTCTGTAGATCCAGAATGAGGCTGGCGTCTCTGTGTCCTAGCCTTCGGTGCCATAAGTCCAGATCTGCTTCATCCTTCTGGCTGGAATGTGCCACTTTTGCAGACTGGTTCTCTGAAAGATCAAGCTCATATACACCATTTATTAGCTTTGCTTGAGCAAACACTTTGCCATTTCTAGTCACTTTACATTCTCCATTTCCAAATGTGACCTGGAAACCTTTCTTGTCCAAAGTGGACACGCTGATTAAGTTGCAACTCAGCTCTGGAACATACAAAACTCTAGAGATTGTGTTCTCAATGCATTCATTGTTTATACTGCATTTCAGGCTCATGGAACCTGCACCTTTTGCTTTAACAATGTTACCATCTGCAATCTCAATTTCAGATCCTTCTTCATCATTTATTTCATTAATCTCATTAAAATAGTCCTTTTTATATGAAAAATGCGAACTGGCACCTGAATCTAAAATCCATTTGTTACGTTTATTTTCACGATTCTGGACAGCTAAGTTCCTTTCTTGCAGTAACCATGTGCATTCACATTTCCCCTTCTTTTCCCCTTTTGGCTGAAAGGGGTGGGGTTTCTTTGCTTTAGGAGCCCTGCAATTCTTTGCAATGTGTCCTTCTTTGTTACAATTGAAGCAAATCACTTTCTTAGGCATCTCTTTGGACTTTGTACATTGCCTAGATGCATAACTGCTGTCCTTGCTTCTAGCATTTCTCACTGGAGATTCACCTCTATCTCTGCATTCTTCTTTTAAATAACCAATCAAGTCTTTAAATGTCAGACCTTGTCTATGCTCCATCAAACTTACAAATGCACCAAAGCGTGGTCCAAGTGATGATAACAAAAATGCTATCTTTGTATCCTCATCAAAAGCTTTGGGAGTCAGATCAATTCTTTGAATAATCTCAGTAAACTTGTTGATGTGCTCTGTGAATTCCTCTTTTGAATTCATCCTCAATCTGGTTAATTTACACACCAAGTTTCTGAAGCTGTTTATGCTAGATTCTCCATACACGCGCTCAATATCTCTTAAGATTTGAGATGCATCATCTGTGCTATTTATTAATGATAGCTGCTCATCACGAAGTCCACTCAAAATTATGTGTCTAGCTTCGCTGTTCATGCGTTTCCAAGCACTTATCTTGGCTAAATCTCCCTCAGACGATCCTGTAGGCTGAGGCTCTAAAGCTTCCAAAATGTGCTTATAATCCAAACATGCTATCAAGCGCTGCTTCCAGTGCATGAAATTGTACTCATTCAGCACAGGCATTCCTAGCTTTGCATCACTATCAAAAGCTGCTCTAGCCATCTTAAAATCCAAAATTTGAAAATTCTTCAAAATTTCAAAATTTCTCAAAATTTTAAAATCAAAATCTCAAAAATCTCAAAATACGAAACAATTCTTCACTGCCTTGGGTCACTGTGAACTCTGAGGGAAGGGGGTGGGTTGCTTAATCCCCACTGCACAATGGAACAAAGGACCATGTGCTTACCAGGAAGTTAACTCAGAAAAATACTACTCAACTTAAAATCACAATCCAATGCAATCCTCCAAAAATACGCAGAAATATGCAATACTGGGCCCATAACCCTTTGTGGGAATGTTCTGGGGTGCAGGAAAGGATATATTGACTAATTATATCCTGATCCAACTTGTGCTAACAAGTTCCCAAAATATCAGCAGAGTTTACATACATTCCCCTTTAGTACGCAACGGTAACGTGTGCACAGGTTCGCTAGAACCTCTATAATAATTACCCTGGTAATTTCCCCTTTAGTTCCATCTTAAAATACAAGACACGACACAGTCTTCATAAAAGTATAAAAGAGTTTACTCACGTCCTGTTCACAATGTGATCCCAGAAGGCACAGCTTAAAAAGGTTACATAGATTTAGAATCTATCTCATAGCAAGATAGGCCTTATCTCCTCTCTTGGCTGGGAGCCAAGAGGGCATCCTTAGGTGTTTCCTCGTCGAAGGAAAATGGCAGAGAGAGAGAGATGGCTGCCTGCCCTGTGCTTTTTGTCATCACCTGCACAGGTGAGGCCACACCCACCTCTAGTCACATGTGGAGGAAGTCCGTCCCCAGGAAGTTTACCTGCTTGCTGGACAGACATCCCCACCATGTTCTAACATGTACACTCTAGGAATGTTGTCATTGACTGCTCCTGTGTTTACATCCCACACACAATACAGAAAATGTTAACAAAATCAGTAGTGTATTTTCAGACCAAAAAAAGATTGCCTCCAGGCGTTGCATAATATATTTTACTTTTGTGGCACCTTAAATTGCGGGTGTTGTGTAACCCAGCCGTAGCTTTGCCATGTAATAAGAAAATTTGCTCATTTTAGCTGCTTGGATGATTTGAAGCCTGAAAAAGTAGCAGCTGGGAAAGGCATCAAGAATGATGTAACACTTTTGAAAATAGGTCCTGTACGTGACAATTTGTACTTAACTGTCTGTTCATTGAAGAATCAGATTTATCGTCACCATCTGTTTATTTATATGCACTTTCCCACAAAAATTTGCCCAAGTGGCTCACAATGTATCAAACAAACAACAATAATATCTCAATTCAAAAAGCAAGAACAAAATAATCAGCATGTAAATAAATCCATACATGATCTAAAACAACATATAAAACAATACAAATATGCTAACCTAATGTAACAGCTTAAAAGTACAGATCAGAGAGAATAATGTCCAAAACAGAAGCAAAATGGTAGTGTACAAATCTTGGGAGAAAGTCATTGTTCCCTAAGGACATTTCACAGAAGCTTACTATAATTAGCTTACATGTATTGAATGGTAGGAACACCTCTCACTTGTGGCAGCCTTTACTCCCAGCTCTGACCTGGGTCTCCTCTCTCAGTCATTACCCTGACTCTCACATGCACAGGTAATGATTTCCAGTCCTCCTTCAAGACCCACATAACCCCTTCCTGAAAGTTTGACTTGATTATAAAAGTTGTGTTGTATGTAATGCAACAGTGAAAGTAGAGGATGCCTGAGTGAGTTACATCATTTCCCATGCATCAGGAATCTTGTGCAATGTGACCCTTTGCACATTTACCCATGGATGTTTAAGTTTTCTCTTTTCATGAACCAAGGACAGTGGTTGCATGACTCACTTGCACATTCCCTTTCAGTCTTTATTCTCTGCTGTAAGTCAGGGGTTGCCAACATGGCACCCTCCAGTTGTTGTTGGGCTGCAACTCCAAACACTTCCAGCCACTATGGCCAGTGGTCAGGGATGTTTGTGGCGGTACCTTGCAGATGATGACTAGCCCTGCTTAAACTAACAGTTTCTTGTAACTTTCACTTTCTCTTACCCACATTTCATACTCACGGCAGGGGCAAATTTAGCATTCTGAGTTTTGCATTCACTCAAGCTTTATTCTTTTCTTTGAAGACTGGGAGTGGTCTTTCAAAGGTTTGGAGTGATTCTGGAGACTATGGTGGCCTTTGGAAGAAAGCAGAAATACATCTGGGGAAGCTGAGAAATTTTGAAGTTCTGTTTGAAGGCATTCGGATCAAGGATCTTGGAGGAGGAGCAGCAATAGATGACATTGTCTATGAGAACTGCAGCACAGGTAAGGACTTCTTACTTAAAATGGTATGTGCTGAAAAAATAAATGCATAGAAATGTTTTGGTTTTTTTTAAAGCAATGCAATAATGGTCAGGTTGACACGTAACACTAAGCCAAGTTCATTGTCTTTGTTCAACTCATCAACTCGAGCAGTTTCAAGAAGCATAGGCCTTCAGTATATTAAATAATAAATTTACAGCTTATTAAAAAATAAAATCACAGCTATATTTTTCTGTTTGGTGGTTATGACAGTGTCTTTACCTTCTATCCCAGGAATAGCTAACATGGTGCCCTCCAGGTGCGGTGGACTACAATTCCTCTCATTGCTGCCCATTGGAATGTAGTCCAAAACCTATGGCGGGCACCGCTTTGCCCCCTCCTGTTCTATCTCCTCTGCATTATTCTCACACATGGATGCCCAAACATTAGTCCTTTTTGTCTCAAGTGTCTGCTACCACATTCTTGGGGTGTGATTCACTCTACAGCAAGAAACAGAAATTCGCAGAAATGTAGAAAGCCAGATTCAGATATTATGACTTTATGACAAATCTATGGTCGCAGCTGGGATTATCTGTATCTCAATGTCTTCACCAACAAATCTTTCCAATTGTGTGTGGATCCTCCTGCCAAGGCTTCACTGCCTACAGGCAGAATTCTCTAAGAGTCAATATAATTCGTTAAGCTTGTTTTATGTCAGAATCAACACAAATCTTCTGATTAGCCCTGGCTGAGTAAAAATCCCCACAGATTTTTGAACTGATAGCACACCTTATTTGATACGACTTCTCGCTACTGCCTGAGGAAATGCTTTATCAACTTTTCCCCAGAAACAGCTGTCCATAGCCACACATGTTACTGACAGTATGGTGCTGTTCCTATATCTAATCAACTGGCAAAACACCCTGATACAAAAATACCTGAAAATGAAAGTGCTTATCAAATGTATTTTGAGGAATCCTGCTAAGCTTTATTGCTCTTTGGTAGAATTCTACTTCCAAGAAATCTTTCTGAACTTGTACCTAAATAAATAAATATACATTTTGTTCATCCCATGGATCCAAGACCTTAGTTCCAAGTTCTTCACTTTCTGTTCCTGAACAGTTTTTAAACTATGGCAGTTGCCTTTATAGAAAAGTGGAAAGGGGAATCACTGAGGGCACAACCCACAAAGGATGTTTTCTTCTGTAAGGTCCCTTTAGATAAAAGGTTACCGTCTGAATTCAAAGGCAGTTTGGTTACTAAACGCTTTACGGCTTTTAAAGAAGGGAATTGTTGGTGGAATAGTCTCCTGCATGTGGCATTTTCCCTTTAAGAAGTTCTCCTCTCAGAGAAAGAGTTCATTCATCAGTCATCCTTTTTATTAGTGATTTAACATTCACACCTCCTCTTCTTTGCCTCCTCCTTCATTTAATACAGGCTGTGCATCTTCAGAACACAGTTGCTCATTATTCCTTAAGATAGGAAGAGCTACAGCTAATTAACTATTGTCCACAGTACATCTAATTCAAAGAAATGCAGGATAAAAAGAAACCCAAATCAACAAACAAAATATTAAAGCCTTCTTTTTCTGTTTGTTTTCCTCCCTTTAATTTCTTTTTATACTTAAAAGTGATCGTCCTTGTTTTCATTTGGATTCACAGGAGCAACATTCATAGAAACAATATAACCTTCAAAGAAACAATATAACCTTCAAAGAAACAATATAGCATCAAGAGAAAAAGAGGGAGAGGGAGAGAGATACCTGCCTTTACAAATTTTTTTTGTTTCAATGCAACACTTTATTCACCTCCTGATTCACATCCACACTCAAAAGTTCTCTATTTTGAAAGTAGTGTGTCAATGGCGCTCTTAAAAACATAGCATGACAGCACTTATATGTTAAGTATTTTTAGAACTCTTCCCAATTTTAACTTTGATGTCTACCACAATAATTTAAAAGCTGGTAAAATATTTGCATGACTAGCTATTTAATCATAATAATAATCCTTCTTGAGAGTGTGCCACAGACATGGTCCAAGATTCATAAGTTTTGATTTTTATCATATGCACTGAATCACAGCACCTGTGCATGGCTGGCATTTTTTTTTCCTGTTGGCTACTTCAATTCTTCCCACTGTGAGTGATGCTTTGTGCTAACATGATTACATTTGGTATCTGTCCCCAGTGTCATTGATCATTTGCTGTGGGTGAAATTTTTTCAGACTGTTACAAACTATTCAGGGCTTGCTCATCAATAGTATATTATAAATGCAGAAGGCCCAGCAGGGGGCTGACATAATTACTAAGACAAGAAAAAAGAGAGAGCAGCACATATTAACAGAGAAAGGAGAAAGCCCAGGCCAGGATTGTACAGACGTGGTTTGTTTTATAAACGTCATATAAAATACCATATGCCCATTAAAAAAATTCTAATAGATTTTAACCTACTAAAGCTATTCAGCTACCAATTTCACCCAGCACTTAGCATGTATACATTTATACATTGCTGCTGCTCTCTATGCATTCAAAGCACTTAAGATTATCTCAGGAATCGGTACAACAAACAGTAAGGAAAATGAAATGCATCGCAATAGCAGTGAAGGACATTGATATTACAGCTTTTTATATTGATCATCAGGCAGGAGTATATTTTTGCAAGTTTTGCATATATAATTTCCCCACAAAGCTTCTCACAAGAGGATCCCAACTGTTCTTTTTGTATTTGAGGCATAATTATAGTTTCTTTTCCACCCCCCAAAAAAACTTTTATAGAAAAGCATTGAATAGAATTAAATCATAATTTATCATTTACCAAGGGGGGGAAATAGCAATTTCAAGAAAGGCCACACAATTATTCCAAGGATAACTTTTTAAAACTAAGAGTAATTATTTGCAGTACTGGGGGGGGGGGGAGCAAGAAGGGAATGCTGGGAGAAATGAAGGAGAAGCTATCCATGTCCTTCTTGCTGTACTCAAACATCCTCTTCTATTCCTCGGCTGCCTTCCATGTAGTAATTTAGAATGGATATTTCCTCAAGAAGCAAACACCCATATACAGCCATCAGCTGAACTTAACCTTCTCTAACTGAACACGCTAATGACACTCTTGCTCGTTAGAGTCTATTTAGCTTAAAGATACAGTAACAGATATCATCATAGGTTTGTGTGTGCGAAGGGGACTGCAGAACAGAAGAGAGGAGGAGCCACAGAAATGGGAGTGGTCTGTGCACAAGGCGGAGATAATAAAATGAAGGAGAAGGGATAAAGGCGAAAATCGGGTTGCAAAAGGGGGTTGCAAAAATGGTTGGAAGAGTCGGCATGGAAATGGAGGTAAAGATGAAAACAGAGCTGCATAATAGGAGGGGAAGGTGGCACCATAATTCAACTAAAGGTGAATGGGGTTAGTTGAAATGTGTGGAAGAAGAAGAAGAAGAAGAAGAAGAAGAAGAAGAAGAAGAAGAAGAAGAAGAAGAAGAGTAGTAGTAGTAGTAGTAGTTTGGATTTGATATCCCGCCTTTCACTCCCTTTAAGGAGTCTCAAAGTGGCTAACATTCTCCTTTCCCTTCCTCCCCCACAACAAACACTCTGTGAGTGGGTTCCACAAAAGGAAGGAGGGACACGGGCATAGGAGTGAAGGTGAAAGCAGTGCAGTATAACAGAAGAGAGAAGTGGATTAAAAAATAGGCTTGAGGAGGTGAAAGGGGGATTGGTAGTTGCATGGGGTGGGAAGGGGAAAGTCTAGGGAATGTGAGGGGAGCTGGTAAGCAGAGTAAGCAGGGAACGTAGCTCTCTCTCCAAATAAATATATGTAGGTTGCAATATGAGTCAAACAATTATGGGGTCAAACTAAGGGTTTGGCCGTCCACAGCTTGTGCAGCTCTTTCAGTGCCTTGGCGTTCCTCTGTAGTTCAACAGCTCCCCATAGTTTACCTTGCAAGGACACTTGAGAAGCACAGCAGGCGAAAACAGGGAATGCATGCAAGTGCTATACTGCTTCATTAGATTTCTTCGTCATTGCGCTTTCTGTTTCTCCAACATGTTACTCTTGGCTGGTTCAGAGCAAACTAGTTGAATTATATTTGGGGAAACAAATTTTATTTTATTTTTTTCTCTGGCATCCTTTTTAGTTTGTTCAGTTTATCTTGTTTTTGTGAAAGTATCCTGAATTTAAAATGAAAAAATGCTCCTAATTATGACAAACACTATTCTGAGTGAAAACCATTTTCTTCCTTCCTTAATGAAATGTCAACATTCAGCCAAGAGCTGAAAAACTGGTAAAGGGATACCTTGCATTTAGTAGGGACGGGGGAGAAGCTTGGTTTAAATCGCAAATTCACAGTTAAAGAAACAGTCGCACAAACGGAAATACAACTAAACTTCTCTGAATTTTGTAATGCAGTTCTCTAACCAACACATGTGTATATTAGGGGAATAGCTCTGGGAAGCATGAAGGCAATTGCTCTTGCCTGCTGTTGCTTTTGTATTCATGTAAGTAACCCCTAAACTTGGATATTTCATATTGTCATCATGACTAGTGTCCACCAGTCCACAAGTAAAGCCAAAGATTAATTTCTCCACATTGAAAGAAGAGGAAGATGTCCTCTGTGCATTTGAATTCATTGCCCATCTTGGAGTGCTGAGGTTGGGATTCAAGTGTGTTTCAGGATCCTACACTTGTGGTACCATCTTCTCCTCTGTTGCTTATATTTGTGTGTTGCCTTGTCCTTACATCTCCAGTTGTAGTAGTACAGTTGGCGTTCCTGGTATGCTTGTATTTTCAGCCCAGAAGCAGAATATCTTAATACAATTGTTAGCAATAAAGCATTTCCACTTTGCTGGCTCATTTTGGATACACATTGCTCTTTCATCCGTTTACCCAGCACCAAGTTCTCTCTTGTGAACGCTTAAGTTTTATGAACAGGGTGATGTAGCCTCATGTTGTGCACTTTGATAGGTGTGGTGTGCGTTCTGTCGCTCAGTCAATATGCTTGTGGGATGCCTTGGTTCGCTGACGTTTGTCAGAAGAACCGCATACCTGATTCACCAGGAGTGGTGATTGTGGCCCAGTGTGGTCACCTGGAATCAGGGGGAGGGGCTGTCTTTTGGCTTCCCGCACAGCCAGTGGATGATGTCAGCTCCTCTGTTGACCACAGGAGTTGTCAGGAGTCACCTGCAAAATTCAAATGTGAAATGGCCTATTATGGCCAGGAAAGGAGGAGGATAAATGTCGGCTGTACTTTTTCCTAGCAGCGCACTCCAAGTTGGCTTTAGGTGTCTTTATTATGTCCTTCCATGCCCCCCGCCCCGGCTGGCCTTTGTGACTAACTGTACGTGCTCCTTCAATATTATCCTCCATCATGGCTTTTGGGTTGGAGAGGGAGGAGGTCGTCGGGTGTAATCTTGAGCTATCAGTTGATTTCAAAGTGAGTCTTTTAAACTTGTTTGCAGGTATATTATAGCCTCATTCAGGCATCTGCCTGAACATGCATGGGAGCAGGGGTGCACATGCAAGTTCAGCCACCAACTTCTCTGGGTACGTAGGCTCCTCTTAGACTTTTACATGTATAGCACAGCAGTTTGCCGAAGCTTCTAAGTGCAGTAGGTTGAACATGCTTGGAAAATTCCCCAGGATTGGAAATTCTGGCTGATCCTGCGACGTTTTCTGAGTGTGTTAAACCAAGCACACTTTGAAATCCCTTCAGACTTTCACGCTAAACAAATGAAGATATTGAGATATGTATATCTGAGTCAGATTTTATGATAGGCCATTTTTTTCTTGCCTTCAGTATTCAGTATTACAGCATTTCAGTGTGCATTGGGTTTAAAATTTCTTGTACACCCCAGTCAGCATATCATCATCATCCTTTTTTATTATCAAGCATGTTTTATTTTAAGTTTTGCTTTCAAGATATAGCATAACTGTAATACAAAAAGTAGGGTTTGTTCAACAGATTAACTGAAATGCAGTGCTGTACTTGCATTTAACCTTCTGCTCAATTATTTTCACTGTTTATATTTGCTTGCTAGTTTGAGCAACCAGGAGACTACCTTGCTGAGTGTTTGTGTGTGTCCTAAGCTTTATTTTGCCCCTGCCCCCACCTTTCCTCAACTATACAGGAGCTGGAGCTGGCAAAAGAGAGATTTCCTGACTTACTCAAACTGTAAGAGTCCTCTGTTCTGCATTGCAAATGGCACTGAGAACTCTGTAATCTTGAAAACTCATGATGCAATGGTTTCCTTTGGGAAACAGGAGGAACTCTATGTCCGAGTTTGTGCATGCATATTGGGCTTCTCGTCATTGCTGCCTTTGTTCTATGTATTTTTGTCTTTACTGGCAATGAATGTTATCATACCCCCCATGCATCTGGAGACCAAACAAGGCAAATGAAGCGTTGTCCTCATGCTGAATTGAATTTCAGTCTGCTTAAAGCTTCTCATCCATTAAGCTCTGAATATGGGCAATAGAGCAGTCTAGGCAGGTACAAGCCATCATTAAAAGTGAGCGGGATTGAATAACATCTGTTGGAAGCAGAAAATCACTAAAGTGATGGTGCACAATGGGTAAACAAATCAAAAAGGGCATTCTTTGATTTAATTAAAGTATTGATTTAGCTGTCCTGTTGGTTCCAGTTGGAGAGGATTCTGGGGTGTGCCCTACTGTTACCGACTTCATATGTTGGAACAAGAAGTGCATTGAATCTCACCTTGTTTGTGACTACAAGGCTGACTGCAAAGACCTGTCTGATGAAGCTGATTGCAGTAAGTACTTCTATCTCTCTGCATTAATGTAAGCTGGTTTTTTTAAAAGCTTAAGTGCTATAAAATAGCTACTCAGGACAGGATTGTTATGAACATGTTGCTTCTGAGCTGGCTCCCCTTGACTCCCCCCCCCCCCTTATATCTGGATACATTTGCTACACCAAAGAAGCTGCAATCCTATGACCACTTTCCTAGGAATAAGCCTAGGAAAGTCAACTAAAGTGGCCCTCCCCAGACCGCACTTGGAAGTTCCATAGCTCATCTGCTCCCCACTTGGCTTCAGGACAGAACCTCCACAGAGACACCTTCAGGGGTTGTATCTTGAGAAGTTGCACATGCTTGGGGTCGGGGTGGTGCACCATGTCACCTCGCACCCAAAAATAAACTAAAGATTCCACTCAATGCTTTATCTGCTACACAAAACGGCACAAGCACTGCCGGCTTTTATCCTCCAGCACTGGACCAGAGTGAACACTTGTTCACTCTGGTCTGCCACCCAAGCCCTGCCCCCCCCGGCTCTGATTGGCTAAAATATTCAGAATTCTGATGGGCTATGCCATCATCCCCCACACCTGGCTGAGGAGGATCCCAGCATCCGGCTGCAAGGGTGAAAGGACTTTTCCACCCTTGGGTGCCATGCCTGACCACAACTGCTGCCCACCCCAAATTTTGGTAAGTGACCCATATTAAACAAACTCTGATGCAGAAGAAAAATATGCCATATAATGCTAATATTTTAAAAACTTTGCCAATTCATTTCTTTAAAAAAATTAAAATACATTTCTTACTTCTGGGTAAGCATGTATATAATTGGACTGGTTCACTTGGCCTTTTGTACCTTCCGTTTCTCCAGGTTGGTAATTCATGTACCCCTCTCCTACTCAGTGAATGCATTTCTACTGTCTAGCATGACAGTGGGTGTTAATCTTCACAGAGTTTTGTATATTCTGATCTCACAGCAGCTATTCTTGCAGTGCTAATGGTAAGAGGTCAAAAGAGAATGAGCTAGAAATGGATGAATCTACTGTATGCATCATTTGGCATGTAGATGTCCAGAATTCTGCTGCACCCCATTTCCGAATTATTCTGTGGTTTTAAAAAGAAATACATGATTTAGAGGTAGAGAATGAGATTTTTTTAAAAATGGTTTGGTGTGGTTCATTATATTGGTAGGAGGTTATGCCTTGTTGGTTTGGCTGATATATCATGTGAACAAGAAGTCGTGATTGTTGGCTTTGGGAACAATTAGTTGGTCTTTCATGCTTGATTCCAATTCCTGAGTAGGTATTTATAAAGTAGAATTAAATAAGATAATATGCTGTATCTGTGGTTTATAGTTTTGTTACTTATTTCTTTTGGTTTAACCATGGTGATTACCATGGTCATGCCTAGCCATGCATAGAATTGATGTCCAGCACTCCAGCCTTTTGTTAGTTAGTTAGATAGATAGATAGATAGATAGAGATATAAATTATATTCCCCTTTCACTTTAACCTCTGAATAAACTGACCAAGAGTGGCTGTATCATTATTTTGCTATGTAAACCTGTCTTAAATGCACCAGTCCATTTCAGTTTGGCCTCAGTGGCCTGCCATAAACAAAATGGTTGGGATGTGCTCAGGTGAAGAGGAAACAGAAATAGAGGTTAACCACTGAAATGGTTACATGTTAAGGAGCTCCTGCATCAGAAATAACTGCATATTTTATTATCAATTTTCCATAGAACTGATAAATCCAGATTAAATTAAGAAAAACAATGGGTTGATACTTGGATGATGATGGCCTGGTGTGGATGGTGCAGAAAACTTACATGCATGAGCAACGAGGATTCCACAATAAACTCCTGTCTGGAAGCCCCCAGTGTTTCCCTTTTAACCATTTGAACTTTAAAACGTTTTTTTCTGCCTTCCAGTCAGACAGTCTCCCACAGTTGTTATGCCCCTTAAACATCAGCAGTGGTAGTGATGTAGGGAAACTGCATGCGCACCTTGAAAGCACTTTCAATTTTGCTGAACTGCATTCAATTATGCATGGGTTTTATTAATAGCAGGCCTCGGTGCTGATGAACCATCTAGTCAAATGCCTTGGCATATTGAAATGAAAGCAATTTTAGAGACAAATGGAACAGTCCTTTCCCCGTCACCTGTAAATAGATTTGGTTTACATCAAAAAGAAAAGGATGTCAAGAAGGTGCAAACAGGCAGCTGACTTCATCGACCCAGCACATACTGCTCTTAAGTATTTATTGTAAACAATGCAAGCTGAATTACACTGGCAAGATATTGTGATTGAATTATTGTAGCCAGGTGATCTTTTTAGTAGTGATGAAATGGCAAGGCACAACATTTAAAGCATTTCAAAGTCTCATTCATTTCCGCGGTAGACAGAGATTATAAAAGAGTAGCCGCATTAGTCTGTTGCAGCAGAATTTGCAGAGTTTTGTGACACCTGGGAGACACATTTATCATGCCGTGAGCTTTGGGAGGCAAGAGCCTACTTCATCAGATGCACAACACGGGAGGTGCTCAGTGCATCTGATAAAGAGCGCTGGAACTTGGATTTGTCATAGACCCTGACAGTGAGTCTGACACTGATTCAAAGGAAGAAGCAATCCCATATCTGGTCCCCAGCAAAGACCTAGATACTGACATAGTAGACATGCTTTACAGGACCTGTTTGTTCGTTGCTTTTTTGATATTCCTAAAAGGCCCTGTTGGTTCATGTGGTCTTGTTTGGTGGCACTGCAGCACAGCATAAATGATTGCAATAACTCCCACTGCTTGATAGCTGCCCTGATGGTGCAGTGAATAAAGCCCCTGGGCTCTGCTGCCAGAAGCTCCCAGTTCTGCCCCCTGGTGCCAAGTAGAGGTAACTCATGTGAACCTTTCCCTATGCCTGGGGTGCCAATTGGGTTGGAAAGAAAAGGCCATTCTGTATTAGTCACATGCCCTCTCCTGCAGTATGGGACCTCACTATATGGAAGTAGCTCTGACACTGCTGGCAAATGTGTGTGAAGGGCACTTTAATCTCTGCTTGCTCCCAGTAGCTCCAAATTGTGGCTTTTGATTTTCTGACACTTATAGAAGAACTGTGCCTCTCAGGGCTGAAGTAGCACCCTTGTGACTACCTGGGTGGCATGGCAACAATCTATGTCAATAGCGTTCACCTGGCATCTCCTGCATTCAGGTCTGAGCAGAGTCAACAATCCCATTTAGCCAAGAGTAATACTGCCCTGTTCATTCGGTTAGGAATACATTTAACAAGTACTACTGCAATTACTATGCTTTATGGTTTTGCATTGATCTGGCATGCTGAATAAATCTCTGTTGTTTCCTTTCTACAAGAGTGCTGGAGTATTCTATTGCATTGTTGGTTGTCGAAGATACCAAAAGTAATCCCACCTATTTAGATTGATTTCTTTTGCTCAGGCAAGGTGGTTTGTAATTGAAGACCAGATTCATTTATAGTCACATAATAAAAAGTGGGGAAATCGAGAGTTTTTCAGATACCAAAGAGGGGGAAAATCAATTTAAATTAAAGTCTTTTCAAATTCAAGTTAGCTCTTTAAACTTTTTCAGTTACAAGAATGGACAAAATACATAGAAAACATTTGAGCCTTTAGCACTGCTTCCCACATTTTGATCTAAGGTGCTTTCATGCATCACACAACATTTTCCCAAAATCCATTTCCAGTGTCTAAATAGAGAAATCATTTAGTCCGATGCCTGATATATGCGAGCACTTGCTCCTTAATAGACAAGAGAGTGTGTTGTCCTGCAAGTAGCTCTATTTTATCAAGCTATATATTCATTATTTTTGTTTTACTTCTTTTTCCTTTGACCCACAGGAAATATCACTTGGGGGCTATAGCTGATGGTGAGCAGAGTCTGAGGCCCGGCAGGGTTGCCTAGTTCTTTCCCTCTCTCGGCTGCCTCATTCCTTCTCTACCTTTCCCTTGTTCTCACTTGCCCAGCAATCCATTCCCAGAGGGACAGCCCTAAGAGCAAGAGCAGGTCCACAGTGTTTGAAGTGCCAAATTACACTAAGACTCTTGTGGAATTAAGCCAAGGGCCAGAGTGGTGCCTCTGGGAATCCTACAGACAGGACCTCCTATCCATGTGTTTTTTGTTTTGTTTTGTTTTTTTAAAAAACATACATAAAACTGGGGGAGTTTTGCAGCAAATGCATCGCTGTCAACATCTACTCACCAGCAGCAACAGCCCCCATATCAGAGACACAAAAACAGACCCTGCATGTACAAATGCCTGCCAGCATAGGATGCATCCAGTGAAATGGAATCTAGTTTCCAACAGCTGATGCAAGAATAAATGGATTCAGAGAAAAGAAAGAACATTCGAAAATTGAACTAAATAAGTCAGCCAGTGAAGAAGGATCAAGATAGCAGGAGGAAAGATTCACATTTATGTCAAAACAACAAGAAGTGAATGAGAAGCCAACTGGTTTGAATTCTCACATGTGTATAAGGAATCTTACACTTCCAACAGTGCAGATGCACCTGATCCAAATCTGGCTTCTGCTGCAGGTCCTTTCGTATGTTAACTTCCCTCCATGGCACCCAATAACAGTGCAGTCCTCTACTCAGAAGTTTAATGGTGCTTACTCCCTGTGTGTTTAGGATTGCAGCCAAAGCCACCCACAATGATTATGGCCTTGTTACTAGGTCACAGCCAGGCTAGGGAAATGCCCAAGAGAATCCAAAGTCACATGTGTGAAATATCTGGTTTCTCTCAAGTCTGTCTTTTTGGGTGAAGGTCCAAACATTAGTTTTCTTCTTACTATTTAAGCTGGCACATATTTCTGCTTTGCCTATGCAAAGACCTGCTTATATATCTCCCTCACCATCTGGAAAAGGTGAGTGTTTCCCCCCAAAGCAGCAATACTTCTTTGCAGGGAGGTCATTTATCATCTTAACATATGTAAATTTGGATTTCTGCCGATGAAAGTTGCACCAGCTAACAAAGTTGTACTATCATTATTTTGAAAAATGTAATCATCATTTTTGACCTCCATCTGAACTGATGTGTCTCTCTCTAGTCTCCTTTTGTAAGCAGGTAAGACTCTTGCATTCGGCTGAGCTTCTGGAGACTCGTGGTGACTTCTTTCTTTGGCTTTTCATAAAGTTTCAAATGTTATTTTTACTATTCTAGTTGAATTATTTTAGTTTGTACAGATTGCTTTCATTTTTATTTAATCAATCGATTGATTTATTTTCTATAACACCCTTCATCTGATTATCACAAGGTAATTTTCAATATAAAATAATAATAATACACAACATAGTGACAAACAAAAGCAATAACACACAGTTTAAAAGGCCATAGATTTCATTCGCCAGAAGAGGAATGTTTTTGCCTGGCATCTAAAGATATGTAATAAAGGTACCAGATGAGCTTCCCTGGGGAGAGCATTCCACAAGTGGGAAGCCACTACAGAAAAGGCCTGTTCTTATGTTGCTGCCCTCCGGACCTCTCATGAAGGAGGTACATGAAGAAGGGACTCAGATTATTATTGCAGGGTCCAGGTTGGTTCATAAGGGGAGAGGCAGTCCTTTGTATCTTCAAAATGGTTGTAAACCACTTTGTGAACAGACTTGTATTATTACAAGTAAATAAATAAATCAAGGATGGAGAACTGGATCTGACCAGTTTGACAGGTAGATGGGACTGTCCACTTGTAACAATAGCACCAAGGTGACCCATTTCCCCACCCCTCCCCCCCAATGGTGTGGAATTAAACCATGCAGGCACAAGACCCAATGGTTGTTGGGCTATCAAAGCACCATCCTTGACTCGAATGGGAGCTTCAATGATAATAAATAAATGTGGTTTTCTTTGTATTGCCAGGCCAATATACCACCGTCCCAGGAAGCTGTAGCTTTGAAACACAAGGCCACGACTGGACTGCTGTGTGTGGATTTACACAAGATCCTGAAGATGAATTTGACTGGGACGTTCACAGCAAAGCTGTCATAGAACCAGGAGGTCCACTCAAGGATCACACACCAGGTGATACGCTGTTTTGGGGAAATGATTGAAAGCTGTTATTCCTGAAACAGATATCCTCAAGCCATTTGCTGAATGAGCCAGGTCAGTGGTGGACACGAAATCAATTTTGTGTGCTGTGCAAGGAGGCAAACTACGGTGAGCAAATGCTACCGGGAACTAATTGGAAAATGCCAATGGATGTTTTGTTTTCTTTGGTGACAATGCAAGCATAAATAAGACACCACAGAAGACAGAGGAGAGATGGGCAAAACAGAGTGCATTGGATTTTGCCTGACAGTGCTGCCTGAACGGGAATAAAATAAGACAGCCTGACGTGGCCAGTTATCAGCTATTTTCATCATTGCTTTAGTTCACAACAGACAGTATAATTTTATAGGTTGTTCTTTTCAATACAGCCCTGGTGATAGCATTCCCGATGCTCTGCTATGGTTGGGTGCATTTATTTATTCATCTCTTAAGAATGGGCTGCTAAATAATACATAAAGATACTAATTAATCAGAAATCCTTGGGAGAAAATACTGTTCTGGTAGATTAAATATGCCTTCTGTACATTTGCCTGCATTTTTTAAAATAAAAAAACCTGTTAATTAAAGTGGCGCTTGTAAACTTTCCCCTTCTAGGCCTATTTTGATGAAGAATTAAGAGTAACAAATAGTGTAACAATTGTTGACTACTGTGGCAACTGGCGCATCCAATCTTCTGTTATAGTAGGCTTATTTGTGCAAGTTGTCTAATGGATTTTCTAAATACTTCCATGGGTCATCACACAAGCATGATGAAGGAAGTATTTTGCTTTGATGGCTAGAGCTGTCATTGAAAAAGAATTCAGCTGAGTCCAGCTGATTCACACATGCATCATTTGATCATCTCTTGATTACATACCACATGGCTCTCAGCTGAATGTGTGAAGCTCTCTCCATAGAAAGATAGTGACAAGGCTCACTAAATACCTAGAAAGGCAGAACAGGATTACAGTAGCAGGTCTCCCCAACCTCTGTGTCTTCAAGTCAGGTACAGAGCCAAATGCACATAAGCTCTAGAGAAAGACGGTTCGCTGAATGAACCAAGGAGGTAAGGACTGCCACTGAACCGCCCTTCACATTTTCTGTGTACTATACTCTTGCCTGAATAGAGCTATTATTTTTGAGTTTACTGTGGATGACAAAAAGTTCTAGCTGTGGGGACAATTGTGGCGATCCTAGAAGTATTTGTTGCTGTTTGCATCCGTCTGTCTTGAGAGACAATGGAGTTCGTCTCTGGGGATGGTCAAACTGCTGCATAAGCAGCACGGAAGTAACCTCCCTAGGGCACAAGCCTGGGAAGTGTGTATGGAGGCCCTGGGCTGCCCAGACAACAGGACCTCCCTCTCGGCCTCACTGATGTGGTACACAGGAAAGCACAGCAATATGTTTGACACCAGCTTGGCTGCAGGAGTTGCTGGAAGGAGGCGCACAAGGCACCATCCAATCATCTTAAGGACTCCACTCCAGATTTGTGTAGGGTATACTTCTTAGCCTTTTTCTCTCCCAAAGATATCCTGCAAGGCTGCTGAGGTTTAGGTCACAGTTTTCTTTCTCCTAGATGGGCTATCTTCCCAGGTTGGTGAGCCCCATCTGCCTCTCACTTTGCTCTAGAACATGTGCAGAAACTGTCGTCTTGACCGTTGGACCTACTGTTGTTCTCGTCTTTGCATGTAAGGGAAGTCCAACCTTGCTGTATACAGTGGTACCTCGGGTTACATACGCTTCAGGTTACATTCGCTTTAGGTTACAGACTCCGCTAACCCAGAAATATTACCTTGGGTTAAGAACTTTGCTTCAGGATGAGAAGAGAAATTGTGCTCTGGCTGCACGGCAGCAGCTGGAGGCCCCATTAGCTAAAGTGGTGCTTCAGGTTAAATACAGTTTCAGGTTAAGAACAGACCTCCGGAACGAATTAAATACTTAACCCGAGGTACCACTGTACCTACATTACTAATCATATATGTTATAAAGAATGTTTTGCCTTTTTTTCTATAGACCAACAGAGCTTCAGTTATAGACTCCTTATCCATTGCAAATTTTTAGGCTAAATTTTGGGTCCTCCTTGAGTGTTTCTGCTTTGCTTGAACTCTGAGGCCCTGCTCCAGTTCCCTCAACATTGCAAGGCAGGGTGGGGCATCCCATTTACTCAAGGTTTTCAAGCAGCCCCACACAGCACTCTTGCTTGAGCTTCCAAAAACCATTTCAGACCTTTCTATTGACTAGACTAGAAGGTGTAGCCAAATGGCCTCTTGTTAAGCCCCTTCACATAAACCCACTAAAACTGTCAGATCTGGATTAAACGTGCCGTTGATTTGCTCCAGGAAGGTGATGTTTATGTACTTAGTAAAGATACCTGACAAATGAAGACAAAAAGTCAAATGACACATCATGTGGGAAACTTGCAATCAGGATCTTGTGAGGGTTTTCTTTTAAATTAAAAAATAATAATATTTTTTATTAGCCAGGAAAATCTAGTGATTAGCCAGTGATTAGACTGGCATTTCAGTACAGGGAGGAAGCTTTAATACTCCCCCTCCCCCATGCCAGTTTCCCAGTTTCTCTCCTACACTCTGTCCAAGACAGCTACTTGCCCCATGGGACAATATGGGGGTCACTGATACTGCATAGCCAGTGGTGTTTTGTTCCTAGACAGTTGTATGCTGGAATTCTTTAAATAAGGTAGAGATGGGGAAGCTTAGGCTCAGGGGCCAAATCCATCCTTTCTGGCCTCTCTTATCCTACCTTCAGAACTATCTTCAGACCACACCCTTCACCAGCCTTGCTTTGTACCCTTCTTGAGTGCTTCTGCCTTCCTTGAACTCTGAACTTACCTGAATAGAGGACTGAGTATGAAGAAACTAACCTACTGTACAAAGGGAAAATTTACACTCACCCCCTTTGCTTCTGACCTTGCCCACCACTGGAATGTGGTTCGCAGAAAGTTGCCCAAAAAGCAGTTTGGTGCTATGACTGAAAAAACTTTCCTCAACCTGGAATAAGGGACTGAAAAACCATTAGATAACCTGCTTCAGGAAGTTCAAAGTGTTCTTCACCCTTCTTTGTGACAGTTGTCCAGTGGTATCTTTTTAGGGTATCTACTCATAGCCCAGGATAGGCAGTGAGAAGTGAGCATAACCCTATTGGAGCATCCTTAGCCCCAATATCAACCCTGATGAAGTTATCAGCCAGAAACCAGGTTGGCTGATTCAGGATACATACCCATCGTCTATGCCAAAGCTGACTTGCATCTGGAATCAATAAAAGTTGTAGCCATTTCAATCCCAAGCTGGTGCCATGTCATTTTTGCTGCTTCTACACCTCCAACCACCTCCCCGGTGGCCCGCTGTGCCTGGGTTTGCAAAGATGATGGTTTCTATTATCCCACACAGAAGTGAGAGAGAGATAGTCTAAGGATGCTTTAGCTTCTAATGAAGTGCACTTGTTAGAACTTCCTTAGGTAGCTCTTTCTTTTGAACTAATCTCAAAGTCTTAATAGGTTTGTTTGCATTTCTTTTCCTGCAGAGGAGTGCCATCAGCATGACTTCATACAGACTGAGTACCGGATGCAAACATATTGTTCTAATTAAAGATAAGGATGAGGAATTTGAAAGAAACAAGAGGGGCTTAATAAACCTAACAATATTTTGAAGAATTAAAAAATGCCATTGTGGAGACGATCTATATGTCTCTGTATCGAACGTCCTTAGTATTGACCATGTTTTGCAGTTGTACATAAATAACAAACAAACAGAAACTTTTGGAAGCATTATTTGGCTCTGTATTTCCCCCCTTTTTATTAGAAAACAGAGGGAAAATATTTAACTATTAAAGTAGAGAGGAAAAGGCCGCGGAGTGTTTCTGTCAGTGTTATAATTTGTATAAGTAAAATTATTAAATATTCATTATATATCCTTTCATTCATTATGCTATATAATTGACAATCCAAGCAGATCTAACAGCAGTGGTTTTCTTTTCACAGAAACTGGTCACACTGCCACTGCCAAACATAACTGACTCCTGTACCAAACAATTATATAATTAAACAACAGTCCCAAAAAACCTCACAGCCTTCTGGAACATTTGATTTGTCTTTAGAAAAGATAAACATTTTAAGCGCCATTCCTGTCATTTCCTTGTTGCTTTCTAGACCCATAAGGAAACCACAGTGTTTACCGCAACTCCCTTGTCTCAGAAATGATTGGCACAATAATCTAGTGATCTTTCCTACCGCAGTCCCTGATAATATTTTTTTGCCACAATTGATTAGACATATCTTCAGTGATGAAATGGTCCTCTGAATCTACTAGCACAATTCCGGATTTTACATTCCTAAGGGCAGTGCCACAATTAGGGAAAGGGTCATGGTCACCCAGGTAAAAGATGGTGGCTGGGTCATCCTTAGAGGGGTTCAGGAGTAAATCACACTGTGGGGGCACCCCCCTTTCCTTAATTTCCTCCTGCCACTATTGCCACTGCTCCTCTTCATGGTGATAGTGGTGGTAGCCTCTCCTCCTGTGCCACTTCCATTTTTTAATTTACTTCAGTGGTAAGGCTATCTGCGTCCCACTCTCCCTTTCTCCTTTGCTGTAGGAAGAAAGGAGGTAGAGAGGTAAAGAGCCTCACCAATTGAGTAGAGGTCTGTCCCCCAAAGTGTTTGCCATGGGTGGTTGTTCCTGTTGTCATCCCCCCCCCCCGGCCAGCATTGGATGCTGGGATGTGGGGAAACCAATGGTAACAGCCTCCAGCTGCTTCTCTTGAGCCCCCCGCCCCAGCCATTCCTGCCTGTTGTGTGTGCCATGAGGCCTGCCCTACTCTCCTAAGCTAGCCTGCTGCCCTCAGGTGTGGTGGAAGATGCTGTTCCATCACCAGTGAAGATTCAACTGCTTGTCTGGTCTGCTTCTCTATGTTGAATTGGAGGAGGGCACCATCTTGTCCTTCTAGTCAGGCAGCAAAATGTCCTTCATCTACTTATTTATTTAGAAATCAGCTTTTCCCATAGATAGTTGTATGAATATGCACTAAGTCTCTGCTGCTAGATTCATAAAGATAACATTCCCTAGTCACTCTGGTAGTCCGTAATGTCACAATTGTATTTCAAATTAATCCAAAACTACTGCTATTCTTTGGATCTTGCATTATCAAGCAGATGGATCAAAAATCCCCACTCATTCAGCTACAAGCATACATTGAAAGTCTGATTGTGAATATAATAACACGCTTAAGAGTTTAACAGGATAACGTCTTGAATCTGACACCCTAAGAGAAAAATGTTTCCTTTTGTTTTAAAACATTGTTAATACTAACAGGATTTCTTTTGTCTTCTTGAAGGTAATGGGCACAATTTTTTGTATGTCAATTCATCTACTCAACAAAAAGGGGACAGAGCAAGAATAGTTACCACCCAGTACTTCCCAGCCAGTCTGGGGATATGCACATTGCGCTTCTGGTTTTGGCCATTTAATTCTCCTAAAATTGGATTGTTAAAGGTAAGCAAAACAAGGAATTTAATATCTAGTAGATTATAGTTGTATTATTCATCCTTTTCTTGGTTGCCAGTTCCATTATTTCCCACACTATAGTCCAACCTGCTTGAAAAAACAAAGTCAACATTGGCAGCGCTACGATATTCTCATTTCAGAAGAGCTGTGCATGCAGTCCCTCCCAGTCACTGTACACAATCTCAAGATAATGTTCTTATACAAGAACAACTTATCAACTTATTTTCACACCGTCCAATCTGTTTTGCTAGATATTGCATGTGGAATGCAATGGAAATGTAATGTAATTGAGGGTGGACATATCTTTCCATTTCAGTTTCTCTCAATTTCTCATTTTTTCAGTCTTAAATTCAGTTCTCCACTTTTCAGTATCAGTTGGTGGTCTTTTTTTTTTTATCCTCATGAAAAGTCATCAGCATTCTACTGCAGATTTCTCCTAATACACTCATTAAGACTGGAAAAAAATAGCATTTTTGCAAAGCAGTTTTCCCTAATAGTGTATGTTATTTTCACTAATATATCCCTTTTTATGAACTTATATTTTAGTATTTGAATTTTTGTACATCTTATTCTGCTGGGGAACTGCACTGCAATATTTGGAGAAGTGCAAATTTCAAAGGATGGCTTTTGTTTCGGTTCTGTTATTGTTTCAAAAAGTGCAAGTTAGATAGGTTCACCTTTAAATGCAAACTGAATCACATTTCTCCACTATCAGTAAATGAACTGCATTCATTCCTGCACTACTCATTTTTTTACTAAGGTGTATGTGTGTGTGCTGAACATTGGCTGTGTGATTTGAGTTGCATGTTCTGCGCTGCTGGAGAAACCTGGAGCAAAGCAGCCTTGACTGTTTTCATCTCCATTGTGACTCCCATGGCTCTCTGTGGCTTGTGCTTTTCTTTGAAGCAGCTGTGTATTGGTGTTCCATGTTTGGAACTAGAAAGATTTTCTAGTAATGATGGTGAGGTTCTGTGTACTCAGAAGATTGCTTCTAATGGAAGCCTTGTCCTTGAAGTTACAGATCTTAGGTATATGATACTTGAAGAACCTCATATTGTTACCAGCGTCCAGAAACTACTGGATTGCTTTTGCAGTAGTTATTCTACTTATTTAATAATACATGCAGAGCATTGACTGCTGAAGGTCACTTTTATGTTGCTCCTGAATTTTGTGCAAACCAGTTCAGGGACCATACATCAGCCATTAATGAGTTTTTTCCTGTGTTGAATTTTGTGGACTTTCACATTATACACAGTTACTTGGCAGTATATGAAATTAATCCAGGATTTTTAAATGCATTTTTTGTGACTTTGTAATATAGTTTTTAATAGTTATTATTTTAAAATCCTTTGCATTAGGTTCCTGTTACATAATTGCCAGAGTGGCAGCTGTGTTCATCTGTTGCAGTAAAAATATCAAAGAGTCTTGTGGTGCCTTAAAGACTAACATATTTATTATGGTATGGTATAATATGGTATAAGTCTACCAAAAAAAAAAAAAGTTAGTGTTTTAAGTATCACAAGACTCATTGTTTTTGCAGATGATAAAAAACAGATTTGTCGGGTTTGTTTGTTTTTTGTTTTTTTAAAAAACCTTTAATAATTATTTCCAGTGGTTGTTTTCTCTGGTGTAAACATACTGGTGTCGTAAAATCATGCATCAGAGGCAGCATTGGATAAATGCCTCTGAAATACAGTAGCAACCAATCAATGCACCAACAGATACAAAACTTGGAGAGTGGAGATGAAAACCTAGGAACATTCAATGTATATTTCTGGCAACACAAAATTCATTTTCCTTAAGGGACAAGTATAAAGGTACATGGTGTAATGCTGTCTGCTGTTCTGTTGAAGAAGCACAGCACTTCTTCTATTGCATCTCTATTGGATCTCTTCCCCAAAGCGAGTGCCAGGTGTTTCACAGGGATACCCTATTATTTAGGCATTGCAGACATTAATTGGTGCGTAGGCAGGGAGCAACCTCACAACAGTGTCTTGGAATTAAGAGATCTCAGTAAGGCAGCTAGAAAGCAAAGTGCTTGTTTTTCAGGGAAAGTCAAAACATCCGAGAAGCCCTAAAACAATAAGTGGTGAGGATCAAATGAAAAGTCTTGTACATTTTTAAATAGAAAGAGTTTTAAGGCAAGTCAAATAAATGCCCACGGCATCAGAAATAAATTTAATATTCCCCAAATTTAAAGAATAAATTCATGCTGGTGGAAGCCTCTTCCACACATACGTTTCTGTCATGACAGCCAGTGCCAGACTCATACAGTTACATTCCAGGCCCTTGTACACATAAGCGAAATGCGTGTAAGTGGGGAGCCCACTGCAGTACATACAGCCTCCCGCCCAACAGCTGTTGAGTGAGGTAGCACAATGCCAGCGAGAGCTCCTGTGCACCATTTTGGAGCCCTTGGGTTCTTTTTGTCTGGACTTTGGGCTCTGGGGAAGGTCTCCTTGTGAGCCACAAGGAATTTCCAGCTCTCTCCCACCATTTCAGGTTAGAATTGAAATATTTTCTGATGCTGTGCATAAGTGGTCATGCATAAGTGGTGACTAACCTGGTTCACAGCGTTGCTGTGGGGATAAAGTGGAGGAGAGCTTTATGTATCACCCTGAGCCTGCAACCCTATACAAACCTGTCTGGGAGCAAATCCCAATGAAGCTTTCAGTAGATAAGCAGAGGATTGCACAATAAAAACCTTTGAGGAAGAGAAGAATATAAAGGTATTTTCCCCCCCAGCAAGACTCACAAAATCTACTTCTTCCAATGCAAAAAAGGGAATGATATTTTCCCTCCTCCGTTACATATTTGTACTGAGATTGAAAGAGCGAGGTTGTCAGATGAACCAATCAGTACAGTACTCTATTTATTTCTTAACATTTTCAGTATCAGATCTTGGCACCCCATGTTACTTTACTACCTAGCTAGAACAAGTTGAGGAGAATAATTGCAGTTTCCCTGTTCAACATCCCTTCACTGCAGTGCTGCTTGAACATACTGCCATAATACTGGAAGTTAAAGCAAAAATTAATTCCCCTTGTGATAATATATGTCCAATATTTCAGTTTTCCAGCTTGTTAGGCAGTTCATATTACATAAATTGCTGTGAACTGGGGTGTAATAAATTACAGCAGAGGACAGGCCAATTTCATTAAAAATGACTAATTTTTTATTACTCCATCTCACTTTTGAGGAAGGAAAACACAGAGTGGATCAGCAAATTTTTATACTATTTCCCATGATTTGGACGTGATACCATGCTGTTCTGTGAAATGCTGCTTAGCAAATTCAAGTTTACTTCTGCCAATCAGATCCTATAGCAGTTCTAAGGGGAGGAAGAAAGGATAAAACCTCAAAAGGATGGCTGAGAAGATGGTTTATTTTGGCTTACTGATAAATGCTTCTATGTTTATAAAATCTATCATCGCTATCTTAAGGAGCTTGGTATTGAGCCATCAATTATATTATATTGTATGTGCAAATATGTATTAGGAGATATTTACCCATTTTTTTGAACTTGTATCTGTGAGTTTTAGAAGAAATAAAAACAACATTTTCAATGCATTCTAAATAAGGGTCCCAAACCTTTGGAGATGAAAGTACCAGAGACTTCAATAGGTCTTTCTTTTTATTTAAACTCCTAGACCAACAGCTGGCAACTCCCCACGCACCCTAAAAACATCCCTGGCATAACACTACATGGGGGAGTATTTAAAATCCAGTTGCTAGAAATGCCCCACTTTTGCTACCTACTTCTCCCTCCATCAATCAAGCAAGCTATTTCTCTCTCCCTGTTCAAATACCTCCTGCTTTATCCTCCACTCTCCATATAATATATTCTCATTGCTATCATGAATATGTGATTCCTTCTTTCTTGGGCATGCATTATGACACTTCTGTACTTACTAAATTGGTGTGTTTTCTGTATTTGGCTATCAATAGGTTTATGCCATTGAAGAATTTGGAATGGATATATTGATGTGGGCAGCAACTGGAAATGCAAAAAATACATGGACATATGCAAATGTGGTCCTTTCCAGCAATAGTCCTTTCAAAGTGGCATTTGAAGCAGAAGTAGGAGCTAATGAGCCCATCGAATTTGCTCTCGATGACATTTCTTTCACACCAGAATGTGCATCAGGAGGTATGTAATTCTACAGATAAGTCACTGGACACATGTACCTAACTCATTATCTGTTTATTAATACATTTATAATAGGTCCCCTCTTTGATATAAATACTTTGGTAACAAGTATGTTATTGTACACAATACGATTGGACTCCCCAAGATACTCAAGTGGTCATTGCATTTGATGTGTGCTTCTAACGTGAGTAATTCTCTTTCAGAAAAAAACATGTGTGAGGCATCTCTGAGGACCAAGCTACATGAAACAGTGATAGGGCCACCTGCCACTTACTTCCCCTTAGTACTTCTCCCTACGTATCCCCCCCCCCCCACATCCTGGGCTCAGCTGCATTACGACCAAGCACTTTTCCACTTGTCCTGCTTTCTAGGCACAGGTCTGAGCAGTTTTCTGTTTGCCCTACCTCTCCCTGGGAAAAGCTGCTCTTTAGCACTGAATCAGAGCAAACATCAATCCGCTGAAAACCCAATTGACATTTGCTCCAATTCAGCAATAAAACCTGGGTTTCCCCAGGGGAAGACGGCAGGACAAGCGGAAGTCTGGTTGAGCCCTGAGAGAAAGGGGAAGAGATTGCAGGAATGTAAACCACGGACAAGCAGAGGTTCATCATCTGAGATAGGCTTTGATGGGTAGGAGAGAATATATTAATTGCAATTTATTCCTCCAGGCACCTGCATGTGTGGGTTAAACAGAATTTTACGATTTTACCCTTGGGCGCAAAATTTGAAAGCCTGGGAAGTAGGTTGCAAAGCCTAGTTTTGAGCAAGATCAGGTGTGAAATAAGCTGGCTCTCCCTTTCTTACCATGCTTACCAAAGAATCAGGTAACAAATATAAAAATATAATTTACTTATAATCTTGCTTTTGTTTGACAGCAGTAAAAACTAAGCAGGCAAAATATGTAAATTGACAGTATAACCAGCTTCAGGCATCTGCCTGAGCTGGAGCAAGGACAGGGTATGCCTGTTCTCATGGCTGGTCACAGGAAGAGAGAGAGGAACAGGAAGTACTATTTGCTTCTTTCTGTCCAGGAGAGGAGGGGAAATGACATCACACAGAGCCCTCTCTACCACTTGTATTTCCATGGTCTGAGTATCTACCTATCAGCATTACAGCTCTGTGGTGTTACCATTTTTTATGCTAACCAACAAGAATTTGCGTATCACCTGTCATGTTGCTCCTTATCCTGGAGTGTCTTTGTCCTCTGGATTTATATCTGATGAGGGCAGATCTGCATTTGAAGAGCCTGATCTGCTATTATTATGTCTAGTTCGGCCTCTTGAAGGTAGTTCACACTATAGAAAATTCATTCTTTTTTGTAGGGATATGATCACCCAGGTAAATGCCTTTATTTGAATGTAAATGAGGCAGCTGTGTGCAAATAGTCATTTGTTTAACTCTCCATGTTTAAGAAGACTATTTTGTGTGTGATTGGCAATAAGCAGATGGCAACTGTGGCACTTATGGCTAAGTGAAAAATGATAGCAGTGCTGGAAAATATGCTCATGAATAATATACCACTAGTTGCTCTGCTCTAATTATGACCTCCAATTGCAAAACACCTCTCTCTCTCCAGTGAGTTGTTTAACCCCATGTTTAAAACAATGCCTCTTTTGTCTGTGATGATAAAAACATATCTTGTGGGAAAGAAGCCTCATACTGATATTAACTTGAAATATTTGTGGTGCAGCACAACTTTTGCACTTGCGAAAAAAACAAAGAATTGTTTTAATTTCTGCAGCATAGTTCACATGCATCACAATTGACTTTGTATTGCTATTTTCAACCATAACCTTGTGACCTTGGTTATTAACAATCACTTCCATGGATATGGAACTGAAAATACATGTTTCCAGCCAAAGTTGGGAACTGTTAAAATGCAATGATTTCAAGGGGAGTTATTTAAGAATAAACTTTTTAAACTCAACCCAGTCAGGGACTTTATGCCTCAGAAGGGTTGTTAATGAATCAGGTATATATATTTTAGATGATGATAGGTCAAATCTGACAGCCTTATAAATCCAAGGTTTACTGTGTGCATAACCTTTGCTCAAACTGCTTCAAAAATTGCACGATTTTGTCCTTGTTAGTCTGGCAGCAAAAACCAACTGATGCTGGTTTGGTTGACATTCACTCTAGTTGACATCAGTGGTATGGCGCCACAGTGAGAGATCAGTAAATCACCAACACGATGGTGTATTATGTTAGAAGACCTTTGAATTATGGATATGGCATTGCAGCTGTTTCTTGGTTTGGATCACTGCTCACAACTTCCAATGTGAAAACACCAGCATCATCAGAATACAAGTCTGAGAAACTCTGCCTAAGCTAGTAATAGCAAACATAAATATTTGTTTTGCAGTGGTTTCAGCTACACAAATAAATAATATTCGTAAATAATATTTGTAAATGTAAATATAAAGGTGAAATTATATTTAAATAATGAAAATAATAATAGTAATAGTAATAATAATAATAATAATAATAATAATAATAATAATAATAATAATATAGAACACCAGTGTCTGTAGATCCTTTGTGCTATGACCTTGACTGACCTTGACTCTGATATTTACTTGTTAATGTTATTGCTGTAACTAACTAAGCTGCCCTACTATGTTGAACTGGATAAAAATGCCCAATGAAGATTACTTTTTGGAGGTGAGTGAATTTAAATACTTTTAGGTTAAGGTTACCAGGTTTTTTCCAATGAATCCGGACACACTTTTCAACTTCAACTGATTTTGTTAGGAGACTGATTTGTAAATCTGGGGACTGTCCCTGAGAAATGGGGACATCTGGTAACCTTATTTTAGGTCTTGCCTAAAATATAAGATGTTCCCTCCCTCCCTTTCTCTTCTCTACTGTTCCTTTTTTCTTTTTCTTTTTTTGAAAAAAGAGCCCAGCACCTCTTCAAGCAGCTTGACTGTTCAGCTGCATTCCTAGGAGAGAATGCCCCGGGAAAGATATGATGTGTCGCTCCCAGTGGCTCAGTTTTTTGAGGAAAATAATAGGTGCCTCCACTGACCACCCCTTAGACATTCTTAATCTTCTCTCCCCACCCACCCACAGTGCCTCCAAATATCCCTCTTCTACTTTCACATGGGACAAAAGGTCCCACAAAAGTGAAGTGAGGTAGAGATTCTTGGCCCAGCTTTAGTTTGCACTGTGATCACATGAAAACGTACAGATGGGAAACAGGCATACAGCATTCCCAGTTAATCAAGGCTTATTATGGAATTACATCCATGTTTTTTAAAAAAATAGGCAGAAACACTCTATAGCCAATTCTGCTCAATTAGAGGGGATGGACTGTCTCTCTCTGATGAAAAGCAACAGCTCCTTAACTTTTTGCCTTTTAGGTAAAGCACACTTTCTTCTCCCCTTTCCCCATATTTTTCTTCATGTATTTGTATAAAAGCTTTGCATTTTAAAAATGGATTTGTGTGTGTGTTTTGCACACAGCACTTAGCTTTGTTCCACATTTTTTTCAACTCAAGATAAAGGAATAATATGAGAACTTGCTGTCTCACTTTGCTTGTAATGTTCTCTTCCCTTAAAGGATTGCTTTGTTGCTGCAGACTTTTTGTCTTTCTTTCTGCATTATTACTTCTCCAGCCTCACTTTAATTACTTTAGGTTTCCCAGGGCAACATGTTCTAAATGGAAGCAATCACAATTTAGCTGGTTGGTAGCTCTAAGCAATAAAGCATTATCAACTTCTTAAGTTCACCAGAGGTTTTATTTTTTTTCTTAAACAGCAAGACCTCATTAGACTGGGGAATTTTGCTAGAATGCTGCCCCCCCCCATTTTTTTAAATGTTCGTGAGAAAGTATGATCTTGTGTCCTTCTAGTAAAATTCCAGAGTAACTTCAATATTTTATTCATTGTAAAACTGGGTGTTGTCATCTGCTGATGCTTCTGAATATTGTTCTCTTCAACATGAGTTTTGCCGTTACTGACCTACTGGGGTGCTGTATATTTGAAATTGTGGTGCTGAGTCATGTTCAGCCTTAATGTATTTAGTTACTGTTCATAATAGGGAGCATTTCATAGTGTGGTTTCTATATGTTTTCTTTGCTGTTGTTGTCGTTTAGTCGTTTAGTCATGTCCGACTCTTCATGACCCCATGGACCAGAGCACACCAGGCACTTCTGTCTTCCACTGCCTCCCTCAGTTTGGTCAAACTCATGCTGATAGCTTCGTGAACACTATCCAACCATCTCGTCCTCTGTCGTCCCCTTCTCCTTGTGCCCTCCATCTTTCCCAACATCAGGGTCTTTTCCAGGGAGTCTTCTCTTCTCATGAGGTGGCCAAAGTATTGGAGCCTCAGCTTCAGGATCTGTCCTTCCAGTGAGCACTCAGGGCTGATTTCCTTAAGAATGGAGAGGTTTGATCTTCTTGCAGTCCATGGGACTCTCAAGAGTCTCCTCCAGCGCCATAATTCAAAAGCATCAATTCTTCAGTGATCAGCCTTCTTTATGGTCCAGTTTTCACTTCCATGCATCACTACTGGGAAAACCATAGCTTTTACTATACGGACCTTTGTTGGCAAGATGATGTCTCTACTTTTTAAGACGCTGTCTAGGTTTGTCATTGCTTTTCTTACATTGTACTTTCTGGAATCTTGGAGTGCTCAGCTGCCTGTTATGTATTTGGGGGGTAGAGACACTGTTCAAAGTGGGCTTTTTGAACCTCTTGAGCTCCTGTAGTTTGCTATAGTGGCTCATAGGTGGGGTTTATTTCAGACATATTAGGTAGCAATAGAGGTCAATTGTATTTGAAAGGCTTGCTTGATCCTTGATCTTTCCTACTACTCCAACACAACAAAGCTAACAATAACAGGAAGAAGTAGAACAACGGATTGCAGTGTTCAATTCACATACCTGGGAATAGTCCTCTGGGCTTCTATTTCCTTTGATGGTTGGAGACAAAACATGACTGCACAATAGTAACAGCTCAGACTGCAGTTCTTATTTCAGTCCTTGACTGCCTAGCTT